GCTGTGGAGAATGCATGGGCCTTGGAGCCGGAACGCTACGGGCATTCTGCTACTGCTCTGCCACTAACCAGCTCTGGGACCTCGGGCCGCCTACTCCACTTCTCTGAGCCTGTTTCCTCATTGGGAGAAACGAACGCCATGTCAGTACACAAGGGGACTGAGGGCAAGGGGACACATGGTTTCAGCACCGAGTGGGTCTTCAGTGCCTTTGCTTCTCTTTCCCACGGCTCCCCACTCTGGGGCAAGCCGAACACTTGTTCATTGGAGACCCTGTCTCGTGGAGCACCGGCTCTGTGCCGGGACTTGCACCGAGCCATCCCTGGGGAGCGTGGTGTTACTTAGCCTCCTTGCTCTGAGAGAATGCGGGGGGCACCCCCACAGCTGGTGAGGTTGCACAAGGGGTTGTAAAAGTAGACCAGGGCTGGAGAGAAGGTTGGTTTCCACCATGTTCTTCCCAAGACATTTTACTGCCTCTACCTTTACTGGGCTGTTCCCTCATCTCAAATGCTCTTCCTGCCCTGGTGAAATCTTCACATCCCTCAAGGGACAGCTCAAGTCCCACATCCTTAATTAAGTGGTTGGGTACATGGGCTCTGTTTAGGCCCAACAAGGCTTGGTCCAGCTCAGCTTCTTCATCTTCCAGAAGGCATAGTTTGTTATCATTTGGTGGGGGGAGGGGGGGTGGGCAAATTTTTTACCATCTCTAAAATTTTCGTTCCTCCATATGAAAATGGGATTAATAACACCTCTTGGATTTGTTGTGAGGCTCTGTTGAGGTAACGCAGGAACGACACTTGGGAGACAGTAGGTGCTCAGTAAAGAGTTCTTTCCCCATGCTTGGCACTCCCTGAGCACTTGGTCCCTGGCACATTCTGTCCTGTAGTTTCTCATGGGGGTGATTCCGACATGCCAGCTGGCCCGAGGCTCTGAGAACATGCATGTGCATCCCCTGGAAAGTAATCTCATTCAAACTTGAGGGGCAGAGAAGACTGAGAGTGGCCAACAGACTGACTTTGCTCCCTAATGGGTAACAAGCTGCCTGAGTCAAGGACCAATGTGATTATCAACAGCCTGCAACGGTGCAGAGGGCTTCCAGGGGAAGCGTGAGCCAGCTGTTTCCTCTCCGGGTCTCATTTTTTTCACCCGTCTCCCAGTGGCTAAGCCCAGAAGAGTGGGCAGACTTGCCCAGGGACACAGTGCAGAGCTCAAACTAGCTGGAGAAGGCTGGGGACAGGAAGGAAGAACAGCTTCTCCATGCACGTACCCCTGTCCAGGGGAGTGTGGACACCTGTCCTCTTGATCTGAAAGAACAGAAACATTCAAGGAAAGGGACTGTTCCATGTGTCTCAAGATCTCTAGTTCTAGGTCCCGGCAGGAACCATGATGGGTACTCAGTAAAAGCCTGCTGAATACATGACCCTATTTTCCAAAATCTGCAGCTCTCAGCAGAAAGTATCAGCTCTTCAGAGCCTGATTCCCATCTTCCGCCTGCCTCCCTTTCCCCAAACCGGAGGAAAATTCTCCTAGGTCTGAAGTAGCCTTTGACTTCACTTCCAAAGCTCGTCTGTGCTCTGGTTATTTGCAGTGCCTCATAGAGCTAGGCTGCAGAGTCAGATTTGGCCAGCAGGGGTCACTAGCGCACACTGCAGCCTACAGGGTCTCCCGGGTAAAATAATGCCATAGGTTACAATTCTGTAAGCTTAAGCATCTGCAAATCAGATTTCCTGGGAATGAGGGAGACCCACATTTCTGTAACCCAGTCTCTCTGTGTCTTAAATGCTTTGTACCAATTGCTTAACACACTTTCAGACAAGAGGAGGGGATGGTGGCAGTTAGGTGACTGTATCAGTTCCTGTGGCTCATGACGTTCTCAGGGACCCTCTGGGCATCAGAGATTTTCTGAACTTGGAACTATGTGGGATGCCTTCCCTGTGAGCAGATGTTAGCGCCTCAGAGAGGGCGAGAAGCCAAGGCAGATTTGGGTAGATCCCGAGATCAGGGATTTTAAGCAGAAGAGTCAACCACACAGGAATGAGCAGACACCATGAGTAGATGATCTTACTGTTCACGGACTGCCAGGAAAACATGCTCTGTGGTCTCAAGCAACTATTGGGAAATCCCAGATGAACATTTAGAGATTTCTCTAGAAGGTCACACTTCTAGAGCTCAGGTACCGTTCGTTCAGGATGACAACAACCGGGGTGAATCCAAAGCTTTCCCAATCCTCAGAGCTCACGGGATCTTCGTAATCACCGTGGGTCTGAAACAGGAGCTACTAGCTTCTTCGTAGAGACGAGAGAACCGGGGCCGCGAGGGCAGATCCTGGAGCCCGAACCAGGCTGCGCGTTTCAAACCTCTAGGTCTTTCTGCCCTACCCTGTGTGCCTCGGGCAGGCAGCTCTGCCACGAGAGCAGTTCCACGAGCTTTGGGGCAGCTGCGCCTGCCGTGCGACGTGGCTGCTGCCTTCTTGGGCCCCCCAGCATCGAGACTCCAGACTGGGCTCTGAGCTCGGACAGACCTGACTTCCCCGTGCCTCAATTTCCCCATCTGCAAGGTGGGGGATGCAATAAGTGGGGGAGGGGGGGAGCCTCCATTGCGGGGCTGTTTTTAAGGAGTAAAGAGACAACTTTTGTAGAGCACCTAGCACGTGGCTGACATGCAGTGTGTGGCGAGTGCACGGAAGGAAAGGAAGTGCGGGCTCCTGCACACCCCTGGGGGCTTCTAACTCATAATTCTGAGTTAAAACTGCAGCGTCCAGGTGGGGAGGGTGGTTTTGCAGGTGCGCCGTGGAGGGAACACAGCAGAGGAAGAGCCACCCAATGACACCACTCGGCCGGGGAACAGCCACGCATAGTGTGCTCATTCCTTTAATTTTTAAAAACGAGTAAGCAGACAATCGTGTGCCCCTTGAATACCCAATAAAAACGTTCATTTTGTAAAACAGTACAACCTTTTTCATTTTTTAATAATTCTGTAAATATCTCAGAAAGGATGTATTGTTTCTAATGAATATCAAAAAAGTCACCACAATGACGTTTCCCCAGCCCCCCCAGTTCCCTCCCCACCCCACCCCAAGTTGCCCAAATACTAGTAGGAAATTACAAAAAAAAACAAAGAGCAAAAGCCCTCCCTCCGCCCTGGCCCATGAGTAGTGTTAAGTGAGTGAAGTGTTAAGTGCCACAGGTACAATGCAGTGTGTCCCCAGAGAGACCTCACAGCTGTAGGTGGAGAATCGGTAGCAGCAGCAGTGGGGGGTCTTCCTCCCCTGGGGCCTGGTAGGGGAGAAGAGTAGCCGAGAACAGACAGAACAGACACAAGCGGAGGGCTCGGTGCAAGGCCCGATCTTCCTGGGTCCACTTCCGGGGTCGACCAGCTCAGACAGCTCAGGGAGAGCCCCGCAGGCCGGGGCGGTGTGTGCCAAAGGGGGCCCAGAACCAGGCGTCCCGACCTGCCTCGGGGGTGGGTGCTGGGCATCCCTTCTAGCGACCTCGGGCTTCAGATGGGGGCTGGCCAGAACAGGGAAGCTGTCTGGAAAGTGTTGGGAGAATCAGACATGTGAGTTCCCTACAGGAAACTAAAGTCTTAGTTTGGAGAAAGCTCCCGTTTCCGTCAAATAAAACTCAGAACATAAAGGAGAAAGGAGAAAGAATGTACCTTCCCTGTCCCCAAATCACTCAGAATCCAAGACAGAGGGCTGATGAAATCCAATTAAAGAAGAGAGGTCAGGCAGGGGTGTCCGCGGCAGCACCGGCTCGCCCCCCAGCACCCCCAGGCCTGCACAGAGAGAGGGGTGGGAGCCCGGTTCTCCCCTCCAGCATTAAGCCCCGAGGCTTCTCAGCTGCCTGGTTAGAGAGAGGCAGGTAGGGTGGCTCCCAACACAGGGTGGGGAGGAAGCCTCTGGGAGGAGGGTCTGCTGGGGAGAGAAGGAAGCAGGACGTGGGAGAGAGGGGAGGGCAGGTGGATGAAGGAGGGGTCAGAGGACAAAACCAGGCTTCAGGCCCTACTGTGGCTCTTTCCCCTGGGAGGCTGCGGAAGGTTCTAGACCCAGCTCCTTGCTGGGGCAGTGCCAGGACAAACGGCCACAAGGGAATAGCGGCTGCTTCCTGACCCCAAAAATGAGCGCCTGGGAGAGGCCAGCCAGCCCCATGAGGATGGAGAGGCAGAGGTGAGGGGGGAGGAGGGCAGGAGGAGCCCAGTCGCGGGGCTGAGGACCTGCAGCACAGACGCATCGAACTAGAGTTTTAGGGGGAAACACATCATTTTCATGACAAACTTGATTTTAAACAAGCAGGAGGGGCGACGCAGGGATTATAGCTTGGGAGTGAGTCTTCAGAATAATCCAAGGTCAAGGTCAGGCCTGCCAGCCAGTGAGGCACACGGAGAGAATCCCCAAGAGACGTGGCAGGGGCAGGCAGGACCTCAGAGATCACCTGATCCAGCCCTCCCCATTCGAGAAACGGGGAACCCGAGGCCCAGGGAGGGGTTGGGAGCGCCCAAGGTCACTTAGAGGGATCGGGTGGGGGTGGGGGGCTTTAACCCAGGAGTTCTGAGTCGGGTGGGACTTTCTCTTCTCTGACACAGCCTTGCAGTCTGCAAACCCACTGCTAAGAGACTGGGGGTGGCAAAGGCAAGATTTGAAGGCAAGGATCTCCCTGGGGGCACGGAGGAGGGGCAGCTGCAATGGTCAGGGACGAACGGGGGACGCGCACTGGCCGGCTAGAAGGCTGACGGAGAACAGGTATGACCCCCCCAGCCCACCTGCCCCACAGCCCAAGTACAAAAGTGGGACCATATGATACAACTGCTCCCTACCCCCTGGAAAACGTTGGTTAAAACTGTCCTCGCACAGAAGATTCTGGTAGTCCCTGTACAGCATCATCTCTTCGTAATGTTACTTACACGACAACTGGGGGCAAGGAGGGGGATGGGACGTCCCAGAACGTACACGGCCACCTTAAAATTAACTTGTTAATAAATCCTGTGCAAAACAAGCAAGCCTCTATCATTAGGTGAAATGCGTGTTTCAGGTACTCATTTACACACACGGGGTGCGGGGAAGAAAGGAAGGAGAGGCATCCGCGGTGGAGGTGTTGCTCAGAAGTGTGTCTCCTTCTCTGTGATGGCTGCAATGGCCCCATCGCCCTTGAGTTTTGCGTCACAGTCATTAACCGCCACCGTCCGTGGGCCTCCCCCAAGCTTGCCCCGCATTTTCAGATCAGCGCTGGGGATGGTCAACTTCCGGAATTTCTACGTGGAGAGAAGAGCTGTCTGAGAGGGGCTGCCGGGGTCCCGGCACCCGCCTCAGCCTTTCCCAACTGCACGGGTGGACACCACGGGGCCACAGAGTCATCAGACCAGGATCTGGGCGTGAGCGCTGTCACTTAGAGCTCTGTTCTGGATGATGAACTGAACTCCCTGGGCCTCAGTTTCCTCCTCTGGAAAATGGGAACAATGGGGAACAAGGAGATGGCTTGCAGAAGTGCTTAGCCTCGAACCTGACCTCCCGTGGGTGCGATCAGGGCTGACTGCCTCATCCCTCCCTCTGGTGGAGACAGAGCAGCTGGGCTTTGAACATCTGCTCAGCCACTCACTAGCTGTGTTGGGCAAGGTACCCAGTCTCTATGAGATGCGCTTCCCTGTTCTGTGAAATGGGATAACAGTACTTGCGAGCAAGGGGTGTTGTATGAGTGAGCTAAGGTACCTCTAGGATAATCCGGTGTGTTTCCCACGAAAGGGATGTCGTCACAGTGCCACTGTCCAGGGGAACACGTGGTGCGTGCCATGTGCTCCTCGGGCCATGCTTGGAGATGGCAAAGTTATCCCAGCCTGAGCCCCATGCCCCTTGCAAAGTGGCCAGCACCGGGCTGGGCCCAGACAGCGTAGCTGTCATCCCCACAGCATCAGTGAGGGGTCAGACGCCACAGGCAGGCTTCTGACACGCGCATCTGCCGGGGGCCCCACACCTCAGCTTCATGTGTACCCCGCACGTCCCATGGGGAGAAGACACTGTGCCGGGATCCGGGATGTCCTTTCCCGGCATCAACCCCTTCCCCAGGAAAGCTGCACCGGCTCTGTCTGGAACCTCATCAAGGTTCCGACTTCTCTTGCAGACACTGTCATGCCTAAGAGGCTGAACCCACACTGTCCGGGGGCATTACCAGGCCGATTCCCCCGTGCTGAGCGCCTTCTGTGTGCCGGCACTGCACTGAGCCTGCACTCCGGAGCCAGGCACTTGCGCTTGAGTCACAGCTCTGCCACTTAACTGGGGCAAGAAACTTAAGCGCTCTGTGTCTCAGTTTCCTCGTCTGTCAAAGGCAAAGAACAAGGGCACCTGTCTCCTGGGATTAACACGAAGCCGGCTTAGCTGAGCTTGTCACGGACTATCTATCCTCACATTATTCCTTCTAGATCCCTCCTGCCAGTGGGGAGGGCCTTCGGGAAAGAGGGACAAGCTGCCTCAGGAAGGAAGGACTGGAAACCGGCTCATGCTCTCTGTGGAGGCAGGTGTGGGAGCTGGGGGAGGCGGAAGCTCGGGAAGGAGGCCATGCCTCCCCCAGCCCTCCCGGCCCGGCCCGAGCTAAGCTCTGGAGGACTGCGCCGTGACATTGGGCACTCCTGAATACCAAAAGGCCACAGAAGTTTGGACACGGCCTGCAGGGACCACGGATGGGGTTTGGTCCCAGATCAGAATTAACCCGCTGCCCTTGACCTACATTTCTTGCAGGAGAGGAACTTTTCCTGGGGGCCACGGGCAGGCCTGAGAAAGGGACTTTCCCTCCCGGCTTGCCCCTTCTGGCCGGGTATGTGGCTTTTTTTGTGGAGCTGAGGCCGCTGGGCAGGCGGGCTGGTTGAAGCGGACTCTGAGCTGCATTTGGGTGTCTGCAGACACGTCTCCTCCCATTTCCCTTTGGCCTCGTGCAGGGAGATGACGGTCAAGCCCTGAGACCCCTGTGGTGTGGCCCTGGGGCTGGCAGTGGAGTGTGGCCAGTCTAGCGGACGAAGGAGGCAGAGAAACTCAGGCAACAAGAGCCCAGCCTTCAGAGTTTTGGCTCCGGCGCTCTGAGGCTGTGTGCCCTCGGACAGGTTGCTTCACTTCTCTGTGCTTCGGCTTCCGCATCTGCAAAGCCGGGCAGGAAGGACCGCGGTGAGGATGAGCCGGTGTAGTGTTTGTAAACACAGCAGCGCCTGCCATGTGGCCCTTCCCGAAATGAGTGAGAAACTGCCTCGAACCATCTGCCATGCCAGCAGGTGGGAAAGGAGAGCAGAGAGCTCGCGAATGCTCTGGAGTACCGCGGTGTGTTGGTAACTCTGCCTGCCACCGAGGGACCACGGGGCGCCACGCCGCTGACCGAGCGTCGGGAGCAGGCGGACCCACGGAGACCCGAGAGGCGTGGGGTCCGGGGCGGGGCCGGGCTGAACCGCGACAGAGCATGCGCGGTCTTCTGGGGGGGGAGGGGCAGGTTTTATAGCTAACTCCTGGGGGTGATTGATGATAACACAGAAAGTTACTCTAAAAGTCACTGCATCGTACACCTGACGTGGGGGTTTGGGGATACAGAAAACATACTATGGAAGGCAGTATGAAGTTTCCTCCAACAATTAAAAGTAGAACTACCATATGATCTGGCAATATCACTTCTGCTATTTATCTGAAGGAAAGGAAAAAACTAACTTGGAAAGGTATGTACACCTCCATGTGTATATATATGTATATATACACACACACACAATGGAATGTGACCCAGCCACAGAAAAGGAAATCCTGTTTGCAACAACACGGATGGACCTTGAGGGCATTATGCTAAGTGAGATAAATCATAAGGGGACACACACTGTATGGCATCAGTTACTCGTGGAACCTAAAAACCCACCAAAATCTGAAAAACAACAAAAACCTACAAGCAAGCAAACAAACAAAACCTAACGGAGCTCAAGGACACAGAGAACAGACTGGTGGCCGCCAGAGGCAGGGGGTGGATGGGGAAATGGGGGGAGGGGGCCAAAACGTACGAACTTCATGGAGATGTGATAAATAAGTCGTGGAGATGCAATGCACAACGTGGTGACTGCGGTTGGTAATACAGCACTGTATATTTGAAAGTTGCTAAGAAAATAGATCTTAAAAGTTCCCATCACAAGAAAAACAAGCATTTGTAACTGCGTAGTGGTGACAGGTGTTAACCAGACTTAAACGTACTGATCACTTCACAATATCTACAAATGTTAGCTCATCACGTTGTTACCTAAAATGAACGCTGTATGTCAATCATATCTCAATTTTAAAAATTTGGTTTGCTAAGCTTTGGCCGTGTGACGCTAATTTTTGGGTGAGTGATTTAACTTCTCTGAGCTTCAGTTTCTCTACCTATTGAATGCAGAAAATGGAGCCAGCACCCTGCTTTGCTCTGAGGACTAACGGAGATACAGCCTGTATCTGGCACGGTGATGACAAGGGGTAGGCCTTCCCCCTCCCTTTGCCCCGGGTATGGGGTCCTCCATGAATTACCAGAACAGTGAAAGCTAACACTTGGTCACTGGTCTAAGTGCTTTTCCCTGTATGAACTCACTAAGTCCTTACAAAACCCTGTGTAAGTCAGGAACTGCTATTGCCCCCATTTTACAGATGAGGAAACTCAGAGACTCTGGCCCAACCTCAAGGCTTCCTACAGAAGATCTCACGTAACGGTGACAGTGAACACCCACTGGGGAGGGGCTGGCGGTGGCTTTGCTGGGGACCCGTGAGGGCTCATTGTTCCTTCTTAGCACCTTCATTGCTCAGGTAAGACCCAGGGACTTGCTCCAGCTCGTCAGCCCCCCCAAGGCAGAGCCCGCCCCCCCTGTGTGCCTCAGCACCCCTCAGAGCCACCCCGGGGCCCTCTCACCTCGGGCAGTGTCCCCTCTGTCTCCCACACCTTGATGAAGACCCAGAGAGGGATGCAGAGCATGGAGGAGAGGGCCATGAGCCAGCCGATTCCGTAGCCCCAGGTGGGGTAGGTATAGATGTTGTTGTACTTGAGAGGCTTGTACTTGACCAGGAAGAAGATGAAGATGCCCTGTGGAGAGACGGGGAGAGGTCCCTGGGGGCCGGCCTTCCGGCCCGTGTGACAGCCTCGGGCAGGTGGGGCCCCACCCCGGGTCACCGTCACCATGCGCACAGGGAGGGGACTCCCACAGAGCCCAGCACCTCCCCGGGCTGTGAGCTCCTTCCCACCCCAGGAGCCTCGTCCGAGGGTGGGCTCTGCTGGGTCAGGAATTTTCATTGTTCCCTAGCTACCTCTTAGGCCTTGCTTTCAAAGTTGCCTTTCAAAACTTTGATGTGTGAAGATGCTTTACATGCCAAGAACCAGGTGAAGCGCGGTGGGGCTGCATTTGTTATTAAACATCCGTATTCACAGAGTCCCCTCACAGCTTTACCCTCAGTTAACAGCAAAGCCAGACACTGTCCTCGGTATGACCCATGGCCCCCCTGGAGACAGGCCCCGGATGCTCAGCTTGCGGGTATGGAATCTAAGGCTTCGAGAAGGGAGGGGATGTGCTCATGGCCCCACAGCAAGCTGGTGGCAGACCTGGGGTCCCAGTGAGGCCCCTCCCCGGCCGAGCCCACAAACTGTCCCCATGGTTCCAACTTAGAAAGCTGTCGGGTGCCTTGGACTCTGCATCCACAGAGGGTCACCCAGGGGGCCATCACCTCCTCGGTTTCAGGCCCGGCCAGCCTTGCGGTGCTAGAGGGAGAGGCGGGCGGGTGGCTGGAGGCAGCTGCTGGCGGGTCCCTTACCGCACAGATCCCGGGGGTCACAACCTTCCAGCACCATTTAATGAGCGACAGTGGCCGGTAGCCAATCATGTCTTCGATGTTATCGTAGAAGCGATTGCTTCCTGCACAGAATAAAACAGACAGCCACACACCCCAGAGAATTTCTGTACAAGACTCAGAGAGGAGGCTGGAAGGGTCTGCTTTCCCCAGCCCGAGACAGACAAACGATGGCAGGGACCTTATTTACCATGTTGTAGCCACCAAGATGCTACGTACGAGAGGTTTCCGAATTTACCACAGTAGGAGGAATTCTGGTCCCATAAGGGAAAGACGCTTACTGACCTTGGGCAGTGAGGCCCAGGAGACACTGAGGAGGAAACATTCCTCTTTGAGAGAAATGTGGTCCCTTTGAAGGGCAGACCCAGGGTCTGGCCCACATGCATGGGGGCAGGGTCAGGGCTCTGAAGGTGCCTCCTTGGCTGGACTGTTAATGAGCGGGGCAGCCCACAGGGGGCCCCGTTCCCAAGCTGTGCTCACAGTGGGGGTGTCCACCACCACTGAGTCCCGATCCTCATTGATTCATTTGGTACAGGAGGAAACAAGAGGACCACAAGGCTGCTGCTGATGGAGAGCCAGGCACCGTGCCGGGTGAGGACTGCTCCATTTTACAGATGGGAAAATTGAGGCTCAGGCGCAGAGAGGCACAGGCCCAAGGTCACAGTACCTGAGTCTGGAACCCTGCCCTGTCCTGCAGAGGTGTAAGAACAAGAAACTCTCTGGACGAGCATGGAAGGCCGAGCCCCTGAGGGACAGGAGGAAGAGGTGGACGCGGAGGGAGAGCAGCCACGGAGGACCCAGGCCCCGCGGCGGGCTGCTGGGCCTCCACTCACCGTACACCCAGCCGATGCAGACACACTCGAAGATGGCCACAAAGAGAAGGCACATCCCGCTGGCGGCGTAGGAGTCGAAGAGCTGGAAGATGTACATGCCGCCCTGCAGAGCGGGAGGACAGACACACGGACAGAGGGACGCACACACACGGGAGAGCAGGGTTGGGAAGGGCCTCCGCTCTGCGCCGTGGCTACCGCAGGCCAGCAGCCGTTGCCGCCAGGCACACCGCTTCTCCCCAGCCTCCCCACGCCGTATGCCCTCTGCGCCGGGCACCCCGTAAGATTCCACCCTCTGGGCTTCCTCAGACCGCAGTGGCTTGTCTTGTCTGTTCCCCCAAATGCCAGAGACAACACGCACCACCAGAGGCTGGAGGTCGGGGGGGCCTCGGCCCCCTCCCTGATGGCTCTAACAGCCTCCCCCGGCCTCCCTCTCTGAGGCCCTTCGGCACATCAGCTTTCACCAGGACCTTTACAACCCGCAAATCCAACCACGTGGCTCCGCAGCCTGCGTTACCCCTCGCTGCTGGGGGTCTGCCAGTCACAGCCACCCTCCCCCTCGGCCTTGTCCACCCTTCCTAGCCGCCAACTTCGGCATGCTCCCCCCCCCCCCGCCCCGCCGAACAGACCAAGGCATCGTCTTGTTCCTGTGCTTTTGCACATGCTGTTCCCTTTGACTCGGTACGTTCTTTCAAAGCTCAGCTGAGATGTCGCCTCATCTAGGAAGCCCTCCCTGGCGGCCTCTGTAGTGCACTGTATGGCTTCACAGTTTTTAAACCAGTTTTCTCATCGGCTGCTCTGTGAGCTCTGGGCTTCCGCGGGGGAGGCCCCCACACCGGCTTTCTTTGTCTCCTGCCAGCGCGGGGCCTGGCTCGAAGTAGGTCTCCAGCAGTTGCACGCTGCATTGAGTGCAGTGAGAGCCTCACGGCGGAGGGACTCTGAACGCTTTGTCCACAGCCGAGTCCATTTCTGGTCAGGGACTCGGCACACAGTAGGTGCGCAGTGTTTGTGGGGTGTGGGAATACCGTGGGCCAGCTCTGTGGCATATGGATCTGTCATGATGGACCTCAGGGAAAGGCCTGGGAGGTGTCAGCTCCGGCGGCCAAGGTGATCCAGGAAGGTTCCTAAAAAGGAGGAAGGGCATCGGGGCGGGCAGAGGCGGGGAGGCCGGCGGCGGGTGTGGGAAGGGTTGGGAACCTTACAGAAAGTCTTTACAGCACATGACTGGACTTCGGGGAGCGTGACCCACAGGAGAAATGAAGGTGGAAAAGGGAATGAGGGTCCGGTTGGGGGAGGCATAGTGAATGCCCGGACAGGGGGTCAGGGGCCAGGACAAAGCCTGACAGCCTCCTGTGTGGCTGCTACGGGGACAGCTAACGCGAGGGAGAGAGGCTGGCCCGGCTGGCAGGAAGTGGTGGGGGCCGGCGCTATTTGGCCACACAAATCTGGTTGAGCCGCTGATCTTGGGCCGGTGTGAGTGCGGCCAGATATGCAGATTCTCTAGAACAGGCCAGAGATCCAGGTTTTCACGAGCAATGTTTCTCTCCTGAATAGCTGGCAACCTCTTCGCGTTCTTAGAAACACAGTGGGGGTGAAGCAAAGGGGATCTCTGGGCCGTATCTGGTCCGGGCCCTCCCACCGGAGCCGGATGTGGTGGGTATTCAGGTCCGAGAGTCAGGAGCCGGCCGGAGGCTCCCCCGTGACTAGCAGTGGGCTTGGCTTTCCGAGTTAGAAGCGGAGCCCATGCTCCCAACTGCTCTCCGGGGCGTCTCCTTCCACCGACACCACACACGCGTAGGCAGCGCGCCCCAAGCACCAGGCTCCGACCGAACCGCTTGCCGTGTCTCAGTCTGGTTGATCCTACGGCGTGTGCGATTATGGGGCAGGCAGACTGCTGTCCTCCACACTCAGGGGGAAATCAAGGCACAGGGTGGTGGGAAGGCCTGCCGCAGGTCATCCAGCTCTAGCCAGTCCCTGGGCTGAGGACCAGCCCGGCCGATGCTCTCCGCTCTCTAGCACACAGGAAGAGCGGAAATCTGTGGCCTATTTCCCCCCCAGAGCCCAGCTTTAAATGCATATACATAAGGGAGAAGAGCTTGCCGGCAATTACCGTGAAGGCTGGGGCCGACATGGCCCATTTAGCAATTTGAACTTCTCTGGTCACTCGCTGGCAGATTTCCTGCGTGGAGGCAGAGGTCGGCACGTGAAGCCCGTGTGTCTGCTGATGAACGGTCAGCACAGCGCTAGCTCCCCACTGGGCCAGGTGGCACCCTGGGCAGACCCAGGCCCTCCTGCTGAAGGGTGGGCACGGGGGTTCTGTGAGGCTGGGGGCGCCCAGCACAGGCCATCTGGCAGGGTCCCCTTCCCGCCTGCTCCGGGCCAGTGACATCCACGCCAACGGCTGATCTTGTAGCCCAGTCCCTGTCAGCCCCCTTTAACACATCACGTTAACCCCCCAATTTGTACATAGGGGACAAAAAGCTCTACTTTGTGTAATTCATCAGCACTTAATGAAGCCCTGCTCACTGCAGGGCTGCTTTCCCGTGTGGGGAGAGATGGAAACGGAAAGGGCCACACCATTCATTTGCTCACGGCTGATTATCACTCCCATTAATGTGACAATGACTAGGGGTGCTAATAACACCAGCCCCCACGCCCCAGCGCCCACCAGCTCTGAGGCCCCACGGGAACAGAGCCGGGCAAGGCCAGCTCCTGTTTTCAAGGACCTCAGAGCCTGGCAGGGGAGAGAAGGGTGCGAGGTGGGGGCGGGGGGGCCGGGTCATTCTAAGGTGGGAGAAAGGCTGGGCTGAGCCTGGAACAAAGTGCTTGGAGGAAAGAAAGCAGGGGAGGCTTCCAGGAGGCAGGCTCCGAGCTGAGAAGCAGAGGATGCTGAGGATTCTCCAGACCGACTTCACCGTCGCCTCAGCTGCTTTGATGGGTCTGGAGTTCCCTCATCTCTTCCCATGTTCAAAACCTCTTCTTGTCTCCTGGAACAGTTCTCTGTATTTTTTTTTCTTTTTAAATTAATTGATTTTGTGAGTTTGGGGAAAGAGATACCTAATCTCACCACCCCAAGGTACTTGAGAAAGTATTGGACAGGATGGTTGCAGGAGAAACATGGTATTTCGAGAGAGGTTTTTTTTTTTTTGAATGTTTATTTATTTTTGAGAGAGAGAAAGAGACAGAGAAAGAACAGGGGAGGGGCATAAAGAGAAGGAGACACAGAATCTGAAGCAGCTCCAGGCTCTGAGCTGTCAGCACAGAGCCTGACACAGGGCTCGAATCCACGAACTGTGAGATCATGACCTGAGCCGAAGCCTGATGCTTTACTGACTGAGCCACCCAGGCGCCCCAAGAGTCTCAATTTGAGGGGTTAATGGTGAGCCCCTCCTCTCTCACAGGCCTAGCAGAGGCAAGAAGGGGGATACCCAGGGGGGAGGGGCTCAGACACACAGTGCCTGAAGGTGCCACACGTCCTCATGTGTGCGTGTTTTCCCAGTGATGCTCCAGAAAAGCCTGCTCTGAACTTCAGTCCAAGAGCAATGCCTGGGAGAAGGGTGCAGAGCTGACACTGTCCCTTTCACCCGGAAGTTACAGAGACGGTGGCCCGGGCATCCAGACGCCCATGACTACAGACAAACCCAGTATACTTCCCTTTCCAAGTTTTACTCCCCTTTGGTAGTGACCATGGTGACCTTTAGCTGAGCATTCACACACGTAAGACATTGTGCTCGGGGCTCAAGGACAGCTCCCAATGATTTGCACGGCAACCCATTACAAAGAGGAGAAACTGAGTCCTAGAGAAGTACTAGACCCGGCCAGGGTCCCATGGCCAATTCCAGAGCTGGGCTTTGACCTCAGACCTGCCTAACCCAGAGCCCAGGCACTTAACCTTCACCTTGCCGTGCCCACATCGCTCACCTCCGTTAGCATCACGAGGCCCAGGAAGTAGGAGACGATGGACAGAGCCAGGATGAGCAGCTCCCGCCGGTAGCCCCTCCGGAAGACCTTGGGGTACATGTCCACCACGGCGGTCACGAGGCTTTCCACGCACACAAACTGCACAGGGCAGAGAGGAGGGTGTCAAGCCCGGGAGAAAGTCGGTTCTTAGCGGCCCTGGCCCAGCACAAGTGCAAGTCGTCTAACCCCCGGGCCTCCCGCCCACTGGCCAGACCTTCCTCCCCATGCTCACGCTGACGGAGGGCCCGGAAGTGACAGCAATCCCAGCACTTACAGGACTCCAGCAAGCCCACGGAACAGGTGGGGCCCTGAGGCTCAGAGAGGGGAAGTAACCTGCCCAAGGCCACTCAGCAAGGGGGTGGCAGAGGCAGGACTTGAACTGGGGTCTCCTGACTCCAGCGCTAGAACTCCTTCTCCCCCATGCTTCGCGTCACGTGCCTACGTGCTGGGCGCTGTTCTGGGGCCGACTGCTTAAATGAGACGCGATCTGGGAGGCAAGCTGGGCATCTCTGAAACTGTCCTGAGAGCCGAGTGCTCTGGTCAGTCTCTGCAGGCCGGGCTAGATTTCCTCATTCTCCAGGACTGTGACAGCCCCTCCGTCCTTTGCTTCTGCTGGACAAATACCCCTCGGATGGATGGAGAGCAGTCCGAGGTTGTGTTTCTGCCGTGGGAGGGTCTGGGCCCGGCCAGGCTCAAGACAGCACGGCTTCAGCCACTGTCTGTGTCCCACCAGACTGAGATGGGGCCAGACACGCGGCATCGGAGCATCAGCGCCCAGCCCGGACATCCCAACACGCCAGTCACCCTCTTCTCTGGGCGCTTCCAGCACTGGGGGCAGATCTGCATAAGCCTTTTCCCGACTGCTCCTTCTTGCCCCCAGCTCAGGCAGAACAGACCCTTCCTCTCCTCTATCCCAGGCCACCCCCTGCCTCACCTCAGGGGGCCCGTGCTTGCTTATATCTGTCTCCTTACAAGGGGGGGGGGGCCCTGGAGGGCAGGGGCCACATCGTTTTCATCTCTTTCCAGTGGCACAGAGGAGATGCCTCAGAAAAGGCTGGTAGGTTAATAAGAAGAAGAAATCATGGCAAATGCATGGTACTCATGCTGAGCCAGGCTCTGTTTTAAGCACTTAACAGATACTAATTTACTTCATGTCTATGGTACTATTATTATCCCTGTTTCATAAGGGAGGACATGGAAGCATAGGGGTGGGCCACCTGCCTGTGGTCACACAGGTGTTCAGTAACACAGCCTGGGTGGGAAGCAGGCCGTCGTGTCCTAGAGACTGGGCTTTGACCGCCGAGCTAGCCTGCCAGGAGGGAGGGCGGTAAAAGGAGTGACAAATCCTTTGGCTGGTCACCATGTGGAGACGTTCCCTTCCCTGAGGCCATTTCTTGGCCCCAGATCCTTTCTACTGTTCGTTTCTACCTCCTCAGCAAAGGTATTTCCAACTTCACTGTGCCAGGGCCTGAAGCACAGAGAGGTCAAGTGACTAGCCTGGAGGTAACACAGCTGGTGAGCACTGCGGAACCGTGGCCCAGGCTCTGGGCTACCCTGTGTCTACAGGAAGGCTGGCTGCACTCATCCTTTCTCCAGGGTCCCCAGGGAAGGAAGGAGATGCAGTTCAGGGAAGGCTGTCTGTCCAGGACCCAAACTGAAGAGACGTCAGGGCATGAGGGCTAAGAGGCACAAAGACCTGGGTGCATGTCCCGGCAAGTCACTCAGCCTCAGTTTCTTCACCTGCAAAATGGGGATGACAAAGGGCCCTCGGGGCATGTGGTTACTGTGACAAGGAACAGAGGATGTGGCCCAGGCACAGGGCACACACGCGGGTGGGGAGCAGAGCGCCGTCTGCCCGCTGGGCCCCCAGGTCTCCCTTGCTAACAGGAGCCTCTCAGCCCACATGCTGGCTCCGCTCAGCACCCCCAGGGACTCAGAGCCCAGGGCCCGGCCCCACGCCCCCTGCAGGGCAGTCAGGGTCACACACAAGTGGCCAGCCCCTCCCAGGCCTCGGCCCTCAGCAACAGAAGGGAAGCAACTTAGCAGTTTCTGAGGACTCAGCCAGGGGAGGAAACTGGACTTGGCTGGGTTCGCAGACACCCCGGCCGTGACGTGTGGCTGCTAAGTGACGTGCACAAGGCGGGGGGTGGGGGGCAGCACCTTGCTGATGGGCTGTGACAGCAGAGCCACCAGCCTTGGGAAGAAGATGTTCACTGGGGCTCCCAGGAAAGCCCACTGTGCAGCAACAGCAGGGAAAAGGGCAGATGTGGGAGAGTGGACAGTAACCTGGGGCCACAGTGGGGGGGGGGGGGTCTGGCTGGAAAACCGAGGAGGGACTGGAGGGCTGGAGGGCGGGCTGTGGGGAGTTTACAGGGTGAGATTAAGTGCACGCATTCGTGAGGAGAAAAGGGAAAATGTGCACAGATAAATTGCTGGTTCTAACTATACACCCTTCACTGGGGAAGGCAGGCTGCCGAGAGGTGGGTGGGCGGGGGGAGCCCTATTAGCAGCAACAGAGAGGAGAGCAGGCGGTGGGCTGCGGGGCAGGTGGGGGCTGGTGGTGGTGCCGAGGACCCATGTGGCCGCCTGGAGTGTGTGGGGGGCCGTGACACAGGGAGGAAGGAAGGAAGAAGGTACTTTTCTGTGTTCCCGTGTCCCCCACCATTTGACTGGGGCAGGGACACAGGTGGTTGAGCCCTCGGATATGCCATTAACTATAACCCTCTCTCGGGGAATTTCTTCCCGCTTGCTAAGTGGTGCTACCGGGCAGGAGCTATTTTCGCCGAACAGAAGTATTTAGCAAGTTTTTTAAAATTTTTGATTGGGAGTTGGGAATTCCAGGGAAGGAAAAGTATGTCTGGGAAGATGCGGAGGGACCCATACAGGGGTGTCTGGGGGTGACTGATTGTGGAGACCACCTGGGGGGGTATGCTGAGAGGGGACCGGGGTGGGGACGGCAGGCTGCGCCCTGACCAGCAGCACCTAGAGGTGGTGATAGGCCCCTGAGCTGCTCCCGAGAGCCGTGTCGGGCCTCCCTGCCCTCCCGGCCCGGGTTCTCCCCCTTACCTGGCTGTCCAGGCCCAGGAAGATGAGCATCATGAAGAACAGGGCGGCCCACAGGGGCGAGAGGGGCATCATGGTGACAGCCTTGGGGTAAGCGATAAAGGCCAGGCCGGGGCCTAGAGAGGAAGGAGAGAGACAGAGGTGCGGCGGGGGGGGGGGGGGGGGGGGGGGGGGGGGGGGGGGGGGGGGGGGGGGGGGGGGGGGGGGGGAGCTTGGTCCCTAGTTCAATTGTTATTTAAATTCATCATATATTAAGTGCCCCCTTTGTGCCAGGCGCTATGCCTAATTCGCCCTCAAGTCAACGTAAATCTCCTGTGCAGTTGGTACTATTATGATGCCCATTGTGGGGATGAGCAAGCTGAGGCACAGACAGGTAAGCAAGGGTCAGCAGGGGTCAGGATTCAAACCCAGGTTGGTCTGACGCATAGACTTTCCTCCACACTGACCTACCTGTCTGTTCTCACTGGGCCAGGCAGGCGGGGCGGTGGCTTGTCATTAAAATGCAGATTCTCAGGCCCCGCTCGCGGATTCCGATTGGGTCAGCCTTGGGGGGGGCGGGGTTCCAAATGGGGCGCAGGAGTCCTCGCTCGGACAGATGCTCCTCTACCCCAGGCTGTGTCTGTGCCCACCCTCACTTAACTTTGCTCCAAAGAGAGAGCTTGGTTAGCATGTCCTGAGGACGAGCTTTATTAATTTCGAGGGAGAGATACCTGATGCTCTAGCCGGTCAAGCGCACAGGTTGGCCTGGGTTCACATGCTTTTATTCTTTACTGGGATCTCTATCTGTCCCCTCAGCTGAAAACTGGGGATGATAAAGTCCTACCTAAGGGAGTGGTTTTAAGAATTCAGTTCAGTAAGATGGTGCAGAATATGAAAAGCACTTAAAATAAATGCTCGATAAACATTAACCGATTAGTTTTTACCTGAAAAGCAACATTATTAAAGTCTAATTTACCTACAATAAGCACTCATTTGCATTGTACAAGTTCAGTGAGTTTTGAAGTGTATGTACCCAGACAGCTGCATTCAAGATACAGAACATTTCTACGGCCCCATCGGGCCCTCTGTGGTTTCTCTGCTCCCATTCCCTGTCTTAGCTCCAGGCAGTCGTTGATCTGATTTTTCATTTTTTTCGCCTTGCATTAGCTTTGCCCATCCTATTTAGGAGTGGAATTGCTGGCTCGTATGGTAACATATTCTTTCTTTCTTTCTTTCTTTTTTGCAATGCCATTTGTTTATTTTATCTTTAAAAATAGTTTATTGTCAAGTTGGTTTCCATAGAACACCCAGTGCTCATCCCCACAAGTGCCCTCCTCCATGCCCATCACCCCCCTTCCCCACCCCCCCACCCCTATCAGTCCTCAGTTTGTTCTCAGCATTCAAGAGTCTCTCATGGTTTGCCTCCCTCCCTCTCCCCCACGATGTCCCCCTTCTTCTCCCCCACGGTCCTCCGTTAAGTTCCTCCTAATCCTCCTATACGTGCAGACATACGGTATCTGTCCTTCTCTGCCTGACTCATTTCGCTCAGCATAACACCCTCAAGGTCCGTCCATGTTGCTACCCGTGGCCACATTTCATTCTTTCTCATTGCCTTGTAGTATTCCATCGTATAGATAAACCACATCTTCTTGATCCATTCGTCCGTTGATGGACACTTAGGCTCTTTCCATGTTTTGGCTGTTGTGGAGAGTGCTGCTGTGAACGCTGGGGTACATGGGCCCCTATGCATCAGCACTCCTGTATCCCTTGGGTAGATTCCTAGCAGTGCTATTGCTGGGTGATAGGGGAGTTCTATTGTTAATGTTTTGAGGAACCTCCACACTGTTTTCCAGAGGGGCTGCATATGGTAACATAGTCTTAACTTCCTAAGAAATGCCAAACAGATTTCCAAAGCAGCTGCCATTTTACATTTCTGCCAGGGATGTGGGAGGGTTCCAGTGACCTCACAGCCTTGCCAACACCTGATGTCAGACGTGGGGTATTGTCACATAGCTTTGCTGCCTGCTCAAACACCTTCTTGTGTGAAGTCCTGGAGTTTGCCCATTTCTTACTGGGTTGTCTCCTTTGTATTGAGTTGTGAGAATTCCTGATATATTTGGGACATAAATCCTTTAGCAGAGAAGTACGATTAATATTTCCTCCTCGTCTGTGGCTTCCCTAGTCATTCTCTTAACGGTATCTTGGGAAGAGCAGAAGTCTTAAAATTTCCACTTGTTTGTTGCTTGCATACAAAAATACAGCAGGTTTTTGTCTATTGTCCTTTATTCCCATGACCATACTAAGTTCACTTACTAATTTTTTGTGTGGTTTTCTTACAATTTTATATGTGGTCAGTCATACTGTTTATGAAAAAATAGAGTTTTTATTCTTCCTTTCCAATCTTAATGATTTTTATTCATTTTTCTTGCTTTACTGCACTCTCTAAAAATTCTAATACCATATGGAATAAAAGCAGAAAAAGCGTACAGCCATGTTTTATTTCTGATTTTAGGGGCGAGAATTCAATATTTAATTGCCAGGAAATTAACATTTGTGCAATACTATTAATTAAACTACAGACCTTTTTTTTTTAATTATCTATCAGTTTTTTTCTCCTTATCCAATTCTAGATTCCACACTGCACTTCATGATCGTATTTATTTCCTCTCCTCCACATCTGCAATAATTCCCCAATCTTTTATCTTTCCTTGACATTTTCCATGAGTACTGGTCATTCTTTCGCATAATGTTCCTCTGGATGTGTTTGTCTGATGTTTTCTCATTATTAAACAGAGGTTATGCAATTTTTTTTGGCAAGAACATCACAGAAGTAATGCTGTGTCCTTCTCAGCTCATCAGGCTAAAGGGGCACATGACATCCTTAAACCTCAGTACCGGTGATGTCTACCCTGATTACTTGGTTAGGTTGGTGAATGCCAGTCTTCTCCACTGTAAAGTTACTGCGTTTCCCTCTATAACGGATAAATATCTTGGAGGAGGATACTTTGAGTTTATGAAAATATCCTGTTTCAAGTAAAACTTTTACCCACTGATTTTAGTATCCATTGGTAGATCTTGTCTGCAGCAATAATTCCTTTGGGGTTTCTTTTCTTCCTTCCTTCTACATTTATTAATTAGAATTCTTCTGTAAGAAAGAGCTTTTCCTGGGGCGCCTGGGTGGCTTAGTCGGTTAAGCGTCCGACTTTCGCTTAGGCCATGATCTCGCGGTTCGTGTGTTCGAGCCCCGCATCGGGCTCTGTGCTGACTGCCAGCTCAGAGCCTGGAGCCTGTTTCAGTCTGTGACTCCCTCTCTCTCTGACCCTCCCCTGCTCACGCTGTCTCTCTCTCTCTCTCCTAGAAATAAATAAAAAAAACTTAAAAAAAGAAAAACTTAAAAAAAAAAAAAGAAAGAGCTTTTCCTTCACACTCATTTATTGAACTTTTATTTATTTCAGTGTGGACTCCTGGGTATTCAGTTTATTCTATGGATTACAATCCAAAACTATCGTTATTTATTTTGCTAATCAAATCGTTCCAGGCTTGGCTACTGGGGGTTTCTTCAGAAGTTTGGTGCCTCTATCCTTTTTCTGAGTACTTCCTTATTTTCTGGCACTACTAAATGTTTCAGCTTCATCACGCCTGGCTCCAGCACTAGAATCAACTGTTTCCCCAAGGAGCTTTGGTTCCTTTAATGGGAAAATGGTGTTCAGAAACCAAGATCTGGCTTCTGGGTTTGTTCATTTGTGCTATGGGGATATCACTTCTACAGGCCCTCTCAGCACACAAAGCAGGGAGACACTTGTATATCTAACACACACACACACAACACACACACACACACGTTTCTATATCTATCTGCATGTATTTTAAACCCATGAGTCCATCCCGATGCCTCCAATTCTAATACAGTTCACTGTAGCTTCTCCATTTTCTTTATTTGTAACATCTTCCTCAGTGAAAACTCTGTCTCTAATGATCTATATTGACTTGTTTGCTCAGTCCTCATATACACGTACAATAGTTACAGAATTGCAAACTCATACTCCTGTACTAACAAGAGAACAGTACAGTAATTTTTGTTTTTAGCCTTATAGTGTCCAGTCAAAATACTGTTTCCAGAAATGGACTTAGATTAGGTCTTTTCTTTACCATTCTCTTTTGCGTGGTTACATTATTTATTTGTAATGCATTTAGGTTCATTTCTTACTGTTTATATTCCATTTTAATTCCACTCACATAGAGGAACTGTTTATTTGGTGCTACATGAAACGTTACTGTTACCGTGGTTCTCTAAGACCAGAGCTAATAAAAATATACTGAGAAGTATTGTTTCCTTTTTCATCCTTACTTAATTCCACCCTTCTTTCTATCTCTTCTCCACTCACACCCTAGAGGTAACCATTCTCTTTATTTTTTAGTTTATCCTTTCCATATTTCTTTTGCATAAATGAGCAGACATACTTCCTTGCATCTCCTTCTTTCTTATACAAGGGGTAGGATTTTATGGATATCTGCTTTTTAAACTTAAACACACACACATTTATCATTTAAAAAGTACTCACCAATTTCCATTTACTTGATTATTTTTATATTGTGAATGAGTGTTGGATTTTTTCAAAGATTCTTTTAGTATATATGAAGATAATTTTATAATTTATTTCACTTGGGCTATTAATAGGGTGTATACGATATTAGTGGATTTCCTAGCATTAAACCAACCTTGCGTTATTCCTGGAATAAATCCTACTTGGACGTGGTGTATTACCTTCTTAATGTGATTTTGGATTCTAATAGTTTGGATCTGGATTTACCAATATTTTATTTACTATTTTTACATCAATATCATGAGTGATATTTTGTTTCTTTGCATTGTCTGTTTGGTGTAGGGAGTTGATAAGTTTCCCTTCCTTTTCCCTCTGGAACAATTCATAGAGCACTGGGATTATCTGGTCCTTGATTTTTTTATTTGTTATGTTTACTTACTTCCTTACTTATTATTTGTTTATTCATTTATAGAGAAAAGTGTGAGTTGGGGAGGGGCAGAAAGGAAGGGACAGAGAGAACCGCAAGCAGCCCTGCACACAGTCCCTCTGTGTCAGCACAGAGCCGATGTGGGGCTGGACCTCATGAACTATGA